GTTATTTACTTGGTACAGACAAGGTTATTTACTTGGTACAGACAAGGTTATTTACTTGGTACAGAAAAGGTTATTTACTTGGTACAGACAAGGCTATTTACTTGGTACAGACAAGGTTATTTACTTGGTACAGACAAGGTTATTTACTTGGTACAGACAAGGTTATTTACTTGGTCCAGACAAGGTTATTTACTTGGTCCAGACAAGGTTATTTACTTGGTTCAGACAAGGTTATTTACTTGGTCCAGACAAGGTTATTTACTTGGTCCAGACAAGGTTATTTACTTGGTTCAGACAAGGTTATTTACTTGGTCCAGACAAGGTTATTTACTTGGTACAGACAAGGTTATTTACTTGGTCCAGACAAGGTTATTTACTTGGTCCAGACAAGGTTATTTACTTGGTGCAGACAAGGTTATTTACTTGGTCCAGACAAGGTTATTTACTTGGTACAGACAAGGTTATTTACTTGGTCCAGACAAGGTTATTTACTTGGTCCAGACAAGGTTATTTACTTGGTACAGACAAGGTTATTTACTTGGTCCAGACAAGGTTATTTACTTGGTCCAGACAAGGTTATTTACTTGGTCCAGACAAGGTTATTTACTTGGTCCAGACAAGGTTATTTACTTGGTCCAGACAAGGTTTTACTATAGACAAGGTTTTTACTTGGTCCAGACAAGGTTATTTACTTGGTCCAGACAAGGTTATTTACTTGGTCCAGACAAGGGTATTTACTTGGTACAGACAAGGCTATTTACTTGGTACAGACAACGTTATTTACTTGGTACAGACAATGTTATATACTTGGTACAGACAAGGTTATTTACTTGGTACAGACAAGGGTATTTACTTGGTACAGACAAGGCTATTTACTTGGTCCAGACAAGGTTATATACTTAGTACAGACAAGGTTATTTACTTGGTCCAGACAAGGCTATTTACTTGGTTCAGACAAGGTTATTTACTTGGTCCAGACAAGGTAATATACTTGGTACAGATAAGGTTATTTACTTGGTCCAGACAAGGGTATTCACTTGGTACAGACAAGGCTATTTACTTGGTCCAGACAAGGTTATTTACTTGGTCCAGACAAGGTTATTTACTTGGTCCAGACAAGGTTATTTACTTGGTTCAGACAAGGTTATTTACTTGGTACAGACAAGGTTATTTACTTGGTACAAACAAGGTTATTTACTTGGTCCAGACAAGGGTATTTACTTGGTCCAGACAAGGTTATTTACTTGGTCCAGACAAGGTTATTTACTTGGTCCAGACAAGGTTATTTAGACTTTTACTTGTCCAGACAAGGTTATTTACTTGGTCCAGACAAGGTTATTTACTTGGTACAGACAAGGTTATTTACTTTGGTTCAGACAAGGTTATTTACTTGGTTCAGATAGGGTTATTTACTTGGTCCAGACAAGGTTATTTACTTGGTTCAGACAAGGTTATTTACTTGGTAAAGACAAGGTTAGTTACTTGGTTCAGACAGAGTTATTTACTTGGTCCAGACAAGGTTATTTACTTGGTCTAGACAAGGTTATGTACTTGGTCCAGACAAGGTTATTTACTTGGTTCAGACAAGGTTATTTACTTGGTTCAGATAGGGTTATTTACTTGGTCCAGACAAGGTTATTTACTTGTTTCAGACAGGGTTATTTACTTGGTCCAGACAAGGGTATTTACTTTGTTCAGACAAGGTTATTTACTTGGTCCAGACAAGGTTATTTACTTGGTACGGACAAGGTTATTTTACTTGGTCCAGACAAGGTTATTTACTTGGTCCAGGGTTATTTAGTTTGGTACACAAGGCTATTTACTTGGTCCAGACAAGGTTATTTACTTGGTACAGACAAGGTTATTTACTTGGTCCAGACAAGGGTATTTACTTGGTTCAGACAAGGTTATTTACTTGGTCCAGACAAGGTTATTTACTTGGTTCAGACAAGGTTATTTAGTTGGTCCAGACAAGGGTATTTACTTGGTTCAGACAAGGTTATTACTTGGTCCAGACAAGGTTATATACTTGGTACAGACAAGGTTATTTACTTGGTCCAGACAAGGGTATTTACTTGGTACAGACAAGGCTATTTACTTGGTACAGACAAGGTTATATACTTGGTACAGACAAGGTTATTTACTTGGTTCAGACAAGGTTATTTACTTGGTACAGACAAGGTTATTTACTTGGTCCAGACAAGGTTATTTACTTGGTCCAGACAAGGTTATGTACTTGGTCCAGACAAGGTTATTTACTTGGTTCAGACAAGGTTATTTACTTGGTCCAGACAAGGTTATTACTTGGTTCAGACAAGGTTATTTACTTGGTCCAGACAAGGTTATTTACTTGGTCCAGACAAGGTTATGTACTTGGTCCAGACAAGGTTATTTACTTGGTTCAGACAAAGTTATTTACTTTGTTCAGATAGGGTTATTTACTTGGTCCAGACAAGGCTATTTACTTGTTTCAGACAGGGTTATTTACTTGGTAAAGACGAGGTTATTTACAAGGTTATTTGCTAATACGTTATATGAAAAGTGTCTGGTAATGTAGGATGCATTAGGTGAGTATTGACAACCGGATCAGTTACCGATGACGAAGTGGACATTAGGGATGAACAATGAAGGCCAAGTTATTTAATTTGTTAAAGTTGTTCTTCAAATGTAACATGCACCGTTTCCGATTATTAGTAAACCAACATTTATACATTTACTCGCTGTTAAATTGCCACGTATCATTAAATCATTTCTATTCAGAAATATGATGTAAATAAAGTAATAGGTTTGCACAAAAGACACACCAAAGAACAAGTTCATTTTGTATATAACCACGACTGACTGACTGACTGAGTTTGGTTTTTACACCGCTTTTAGCAATATTCCAGCAACATCACGGCGGGGGACACCAGAAATGGGCTTCACACATTGTACCCATGTGGGGATTCGAACCCGGGTCTTCGGCGTGACGAGCCAACGCTTTAACCACTAGGCTACCCCACCGCCCCATATATAACCACGAAACGCCTTCCAGACCCAGATGCTTGATGGACATTTAGAAGTTAGAAGGTTACATAACAACGTATAGTATTGATTAACAGCGTCTTTATTATTTACAACACAGCGTTTCTGGGCTACTTCTTGCCCCTTTGGTCACGCCGAAGACCCGGGTTCGATTCCCGACATGGGTACAATGTGTGAAGCCCATTTCTGGTTTTCCCCGCCGTTATATTGCTGGGATATTGCTAAAAGCGGCGTAAAACCATACTCACTCACTCACTTCATAACGCTGCACTTAACAATATTCCAGCTGTATGGCGGCGGTCTGTAAATAATCAAATCTCGACCAGACACCTGATGAAACGGCAAACAGTAGCCTAGAAACCTTGTGTTGTAAATCACCAGAAATAAAGATGTTGTAAATCCATTACAGACCGCCGCCAAATAGCTGGAACATTGCGGCGTTAAACAACCAACCAATCAACCAACCATGATCAATAGAAATGATGGACTGATCCACTGTTTAGTTCTAAGACCACACTGCACTGAAATGCTATCACGTTTTAAGGTCACAATGCCTGGTTGGGTGTAGAATGTGCAGGTAGTGAATATAACTTGAAACTGACACAATATAACAATATATACTACTCACACTTTGCTAAGGATCACCAAAATTCACAGCCTTACTTAAACGTAGATTTATATTTTGAAATTGTATCCATTTAAAACTGGATAAAAAAATAATATGGTAACCTGTCTTTAGGCAAACAGTTTCTCTAATCTAACCTTAGGCACTCGAGACATGAGTAACCATAACAATGGTTTTTATGGCACCAGTCAGCCATTTTGCAAATCATGGAACGGGTCATTGACAAGTACACAACACCTGTCAATAGCAGGTATGGGTTCCACAAGATGAAATGACTTACTGAAACATAGGATTCATGCTTACAATAATCTTATAGGCCTGTTACTGAATAAAATGTCTGTCTGTCATAATCTTAGATATTAAAACCAAATTTGACTCCACATCATAGTTTTCTGTTAAATCCATAATATGATCCTAAGAAAAGTGTGAATAGTATTTTCGGTAAGGACACTCAAATCCAGACATGGCATGTATCTCCAAGTGTATTTTTTAACGCCGCCCTCAGCAAGAAAAGAGTGGTGGCGGTGGGGTTAGCAGCCCCTCCTGAAAGGTGGCGGGGGCATGAAACTCTCGTGAAATAGTGTGAAAATGAACTGTGCACCCCCATTTCACAAAAGTCTGCACCCGTTCCATGTACTCTAGTTATTTTAAAGCCCTACGAGCGGATTTGTAACAACTTGTATTTATTTTGTATGTAAAACCTTTCTCGTCGCTATATAGCTGAATACCTGTGAAGGTCCTGGTTAGAGTTGATCTTCAGTAACCCATGCTTGTCGTAAGAGGCGACTAACGGGATGGGGTGGTTAGGCTCGCTGACTTGCTTGACACATGTCATCGGTTCCCAATTGCGCAGATCGATGCTCATGCTGTTGATCACTGGATTGTCTGGTCCAGTCTCGATTATTTAGAGACCGCAGCAATATAGCTGGAATATTGCTGAGTGCGGCGTAAAACTAAACTCACTCAATATAGCTGAAATATTGCAAGAAGTTAAATTTTAACTCACTCACTCACTCATGTAGCTGATTGAGCTTAGTCTTACGACAAGTAGAGATTGCTGGGGATCTAATTTCTTACTGGGGCGGTAGGGTAGCCTAGTGGTTAAGCCTAGCCTAGTAGCGTCACGCCGAAGACCCGGGTTCGATTCCCCACATGGGTACAATGTGTGAAACCCATTTCTGGTGTCCCCCGCCGTGATAATGCTGGAATATTGCTAAAAGTGGCGTAAAACTAAACTCACTCACTCCCTTATTTCTTTCTCGGAATTCCTACAAGCTGATTTAAAGTGGTCATACATGTGATTGAAAAGATCGCAAGAACGCAGGCGGTTGGTTGGGAACGTGTCGCGCGCACGTACCTTGCACGTGAATGCTGGTCGGCACGTGCCATTCTTCACCACTCGTCCCTTTCCGCAGCCAAGTCTATTCGGTTGCTCCGAAAAGACACGAGTTGAACACGCCGATGTGAGTGAGAACGAGCATGTGCGTTATTCATGTGGCCATTTTTCACACCTCGAGGTAATCCTCGGAGTTGAGGAAGTCGTGGTATTGCAAGGCGAAGATATACTAGTAGCTGACGTGAGTAGACCGTTTTGGTTTGGTTATAGGTGTTTGCGATGAAGTAGCATGTTAACTTACTGTCACCCTTGAGTCGGTGAATGAGACATGGCAATGAGTGTATCCAGTTTACAGAGGTATCCGCTGGATAAGATGTCGGATGTCTGTTCCTGTGTCAAATGAGAATTACGTGAATTTAGCGTGAATTATCTCGTGAGTGTTGACATGTGAGTTGCAGGAGTGAGAATTATTTAATGATTCCACGGAAGAGTTGTACTGTCGATAAGATTTTTTTAAACGCTGCACCAAGCAATTTTCATGCGTTTTGACGGTAATCTGTAAATAGTCTGGATCAGATATTCAAGTGATTGCCATGACATCGACGTACGCATTTGAGATAAGTTATTTTAGTAACTTGGTGGTTGTAGCCAGGTAAGTTTCCCCGTGGCTGGGAGCTTGGTGACAGCTGCTTCCTTGGATTGTAAGTTTGCTAAATGTAGTTTACGAGCTGAGTTGTGGTTTGATAAGGTATAGAATAAGGCTTAGTACAGAATAACATGAAAATGTTTATCATTAGGTTCAGAATTCAAAAGTCGTCGATGCAGTGCGAGATTCAGCTAGCCATTGATGTTCAGAAGAGTGTTACGCTTGATCAGAGATTTGACTGTGAGGGTATGGCTATTATACCACTTCATTAGGCATTTAGAAACTGGTGTGACGAGGAGGAACACGTTTTATGATTGACAACTGTATTGCTATAGATGCGACGTTTACCTGTAACGTCATTATCACTCGCGTCTTACCATCTTCTACGAAACGTCGCAGCGACTGCAATAAAGAAGTAAATTTATACAGCGTCTTTCTCCTCAAGAAGGGGCGGTGGGGTAGCCTACTGCTGGAAGCGTTCGCTCGTCGCCTCGATGACTCGGGTTAGATTCCCCACAACGGTACTATGTGTGAAGCCCATTTTTGGTGTACCCTGCCGTGCTATTGCTGGAATATTGCTAAATGCGGCGTAAAACTAAACTCGCTCTTCAAGAATGTATCAGTCTTTATGCGAGATGAGTATAGGAGAGGAAAAAGAACTTGGACCAGATTAAAAGTTATTACACGTAAAACAGGTGCAGTTGTTGCAGAGCGTTGGAGACATTTAGGAAGGAAATACTGACCGGATAATCAGGCGGTCTGTGCCACCGATAGAAACCCCTTTTAGTTTGACCGTGGCTGTGTCAGGCTGGTCGCGTGCTCTTTTCCCCGACTTATTATCACTTGTGTAATTGTCCTATTCCATGGTCATTTGTACAGTTTTTGTAGAGCTAACTTGGTTCTTTCTGGGTATATATTCTACTTCACCATTCTAGCATTGTTTACGGGATATGTTTTTTTTCTGTCCCAAAGCAGCTTATTATGGCCGTATTTTGCCCCTTTTATCATTTAATAATGTATTACTTCATGTCACAAGTACTTATATGCTCTGGTAGCGTAAGTTACGCTCTTTATATGCTCTTGTAGCTCCCCTCCTCCCGTTTAGGAGAGGTGGGGTAGCCTAGTGGTTAAAGTGTTGGCTCGTCACGCCGAAGACCAGGGTTCAATTCCCCACAGGGGTACAATATGTGAAGCCCACTTCTGGTGTCCCCCGCTGTGATATTGCTAAAAGCGGCGTAAAACCATACTCGCTTACTCACTCCTCCCCGTTTAGGGGTAACCAGCTGAAGGTAACCACAAGACAATTCCACCAGAACGTGGATGACATTTGGGTGAGACAGTTCTTACTTTTTGTAGTCATCTGGTGAATTGGTCACATAGTCACTTACGCTACTTAACTTCCTGTTCCTTTAGTTAACCTACCCATCTACCCCATTTATAAAAGTTGCATAGTAAGTTAGTGTAGAACTTTACTTGCGTATTACCCTGTTTCTCTAAGCGACTATTTCTCACTCCAGCAGTAATCATCTGTTGTCCCTGTTAGGTCAACTTTGAGCTTCGTCAATTGGCTTTGTGTGAGCCCTGTGTGTTATATTGAGTATGGGAGTCAGTGGTTATGTCTGAGTGATTGTTTCGAGCTAATTGACAGTTCATTCGAAGGTGACCTTGCATATTTTCTTGACTCTGGTTGTCATAACTGTAAATAAACTCGTTACTATTTTTACCCACACTTGTCTTGGTTTCTGTAGTGTTCTATTGGTGTATTTTCCACCTTCCAGCTGGAAGTTCCGGTTTACCTTAGAAGTGTTTGTGAACCCGTGATAGCAGCCGCTAAGGTTTGGAGGAGAGCGATCAAGGGGACGGTACTAGGTGTGTATTATGGAAGGAGTGACATTTGGTATGAGCAATATATACAGATGGGAAAATATTTAAAGCTATATTTAATCAGTTTATGTATCGTGCGTCTTCACAGGAAATTTTGTAGCTAAAGACTTTTCTTTAACGCAAAAGCCAACAATAAAGAATCTGAATGGTATTTGATTAAACATGGGTTAAAAGTATGGTCACCCCAAACGGTTAACACGATGCATAGTCATAATTGATACACCCAATCCACAAATAGTCTCTAGTTTCAGAAACAGCGGACGGTCAGTATCTTGTGTAACCTCCGCCCATCTGTAGGACGTTTTGAACCCTCGTCACCGTTGAGTGCACGAGAATGTGAATCAAATGTTGGGGTAATCTGTTCCATTCTTGGTGCAATGTACGCTTTAATTCATCAATATTCTGAACTGGCGGATCTCTGACGCCCCAAACGTACGCTTGGTTCAAATCAGGGCTTCTGGCTGGCCATGGAAGATGGGTAATGGCTCCTTTAAGCACGAAATCAATGACTGCGCGTGCGCGATGTGGCCCAGCGTTGTCATCCATAAAATGCCTCTTGAAGATTTGCTTTTGGTATCTTTGGCCATTCAGATTTCCTCTCACTGTGAATAGGTCTTCAGCAACCCATGCTTGCCACAAAAGGCGACTATGCTTGTAAGAGGCGACTAACGGGATCGGGTGGTCAGGCTCGCTGACTTGGTTGACACATGTCATCGGTTTCCAATTGCGCAGATCAATGTTCATGATGTTGATCACTGGATTGTATGGTCCAGACTCGATTATTTACAGACCGCTGCCATATAGCTGGAATATTGCTGAGTGACGCGTAAAACTAAAATCACTCACTCTTAGTGACAAGCTGAAGTTAGCAGTCATACGACACACAGCCCCATAGGGCCCATACCCTGCTGCTGCTTTCAGTCGAGTTGCTGATGTGAAGTTACTTCCGTTTTAACATTGGTCTAAAATACTCATGGAAATAGAAATGGCCAACTAGGCCTTAAATTATCCCACTGTCATGCTGTTCGCGTGCTTTCCCGACTTATGTAATTCTCTTATTCCATCATCATTTGCTCTTTCTGGGTATATATGTACTTTAGCATTGTTTACGGGATATGTTTTTCTGTCCCAATACAGATTATTCTGGTCTTATTTTGGCATTATCTTAACTATTCATGTCACAAGTACATATATGCTCTTGTAGCGTAGGTTACGCCCTTTCTGGAAGTTTTTAGCTTTTAACTAGAAGTCTTCGTTTTTGTATTGGAGTCGTTTAAAAGCTGTAGAACAAACACAACCCTTGGCCCTTTTCTAATTAAGCACCCCACCTGGGTACCGGCCTTCTCTCAGGTCAGCTCGAAGGTTATATAAGGCCGTAACGTACATAGGCTCATCAGTTGGCACAGTGTTCTTGGGGGGTTGCTCCCAAAAGTTAGAATTCCCAAAAGTCATACATCTCACTTGTCAGACAAATTAATCAGGCGTGACTGTGATTACAACCTAGTCTTACCCACTGATATAATGAACCTGTCCCATACACTTACGAGATGGTTTTCATATTTGTATAAAAATACCTTGATGAGAATACTAATGTTGACAGTTAATCTAGAGAAAACTCAAATTGTTGTTTTTAGAAGAGGTGGACACTTAGCGAGCAATGGTTTTATAAAGGTGAACGGTTGATTCATATAGATATCTAGGGATTCCCTTTTCATCTTGTAAGTACACCCTCAGTCAGGCAGCAAATCGCCAGCACAGTCAGCCGCCTAACCCGCTCAGCCACCGCGACTTCCACAAAAGGGGGCCTCAACCCCAAAAAGTAACAGAATTTGTACTTAGCCAAGAAAGTGTAATCCCAAATATAACATGTTGCATTTGACCACTTTCTAAATGGCATTGTGTAATCGTTACCCAATGTATATACATACATGCACAACGGCATTTCATAAACTACCGGCTTAAACTTGTAAATATGCATCAACAAAGAATTTCCCAAAAAGCTTATGATATGCTAATGTAATTACGATAATTGTGGTTCATCTGTGCGTAATTTGTTTTCATATGGATTTGGTTATGTTTGGTTATTTCAAGAGTTTTCATTAACGTAATGGAGTTACTTCCTTCCTAACATTGTTTGGCTTAGTACTTTGGACTAGTCCATTAATTAACGAAGGTAACAGCGTAGTGAACCTCTGTAGTGAACAACCCTAACCTTTGTTTTAACTTTTGGGAGGACACCGTCTTGGGTATACCTTTTATAATCTCTTTAGTAACTGTCTCACTCTAGCAGTGATCACCTGTTGTCCCTGTTAATTTGTGTGCGCCGTGTATGTGTAACCATGTTGAGCTAAGTAACAGTTCCTTAGAGTGCAGTCGAAGGTGACTTTGCATATTTTCTTGACTCAATTTACAGTTATGCCAACATTATTACTTTTATCCACACTTGTCTTGTTTACTGAAGTGTTTTATAGGTGTATTGTCCAACCTTCAAGAGGGAAGTTCAGGCTTTCAGTAGAAGGGTTTGTGAACCCCGTGACACCACCATCGTCGGAAAGGTCGTTTTAGAGATAAATGACTTCACAATCAGATAAATGACAACAGCATGCTGCACTGTTGAGACAGGAAGATTCCTTTGAACGTGTATTGTCATTTAGGGTATTTAGATAATAAAACGTATAATTAATGGGTGAGGGCATGGCTGACATCGATAAATGAAGTTTCTATCATAAAAATAGCTTGTATTAAATCTGTTAAGAGACCATTGAAAATAAAGATAAATTTCTTTCAGTTAGAAATTAATACAACTTTGTTTTATTTAGACATCTAACGGATTGATTCTTTCATGTGTATTTTGCAGGAATTCCGTTTGTCTTTCCGCCACAGAGAAGGTGGCTTCAGAAGTGAGTGATGTTCGTCCGGACAAAAACTAGAAAGTGAGTAAAGATCACACTGAATCGGTAGATGTTGTCATAGAAAAATTAAAACAATTTTTTTTGGGGGGGGATACAATATAAAACAAACAGCATGTCCAATAATTTTGCTTAAAGAATTCAGGTTTCCTTTGTATTGAAGAGCCTATTTCTGCTTGTGGTACATCCTAGTATGAAAACCGTGTAACTTACTTTTCAGTTGAATAGTGTTTATTCCACAAGGCGAACATATTACAACATCGGGACTAGATGTTGACAGTTGTCTGTTCTAAATAAATTCTGTACACTGAGACTTAACAGATATATTACAGAAAAGATATGAGACGTATGGAGAGTACGCTTTATTTACATCTGAAAAGCACATTTGTAGATGCTTGACCGTGTGTACTGTTTCGATTTGATCCAAAGAATATTTTTCATTCCAGAGGTTTCGCAGATCCTTTGGCACCACTGACAGACGAGTCTTGAGAAATCTGTCCAATTCTCATCCCCGCTGAAACCACATACAATAAATTCTTGCCTCAACTTTGACTATTTACGTGCTTTTAATTCCGTGTTGACAGTTACCTATTTTACTTTCACTGCTTGGTTGACACGTCATCGGTTCCCAAATCAGCGAGCCTGTCTACCCCATCCTGTAAGTCGCTTACCCGCTTAAATACAGACTTCTTACATGCGACAGAACAATTACCCTTTTTAAAGCGGTGTATAGACCCTTCAAGTTGAGCAAGCCTGCCGTGGCCCCAGCTTCGAAGAAACCTGAAACGATAGAAAGTCTCGAATTACACTGTTGCTTAACGGCGTCCAGACTGGAACAGTGGTCTCCTAAACATCGAGGGTACATGTTCCCAGTGAAAAACGTATTTATCTTCCTCACGGCATCTATACTAACTTGGTGAATAGAAACACCCGATTGTACAATTGACCATGCGAGTTTCAGGCTACATTCAGCAACATCACCGTGAATCTTTCAAATAGTGACACTAGCATGGGGTTCGCGAGAAGCTGAGCATCCCGTGTCACCAATCATGAACAAAATAGTAACTTCCCAAAACTTAGACAGCTTAAAACAACATTTCTGGTTCAGTGCACAATTAATCCTCAAACTGATACCTATTTCTTATAATGGATTAGTCCGGTAGAATCAATTAGATGTTATATGAAGCACTGCACTTGCACAAACTATATTTGAATTGACATCAGCATTTATCAAGGACGTAACCACTGATCACATACATTCCGCATTGCATTTATCTGTAAGCCTGATACAAAAGTTGTGTGTGCTTCACTTTGTTTCTGTTGTACAGATACCCGTCAAGAACTTGAGGTATACCCTTTCGAAGTCTAGCCATAATGAACGAATATCCGACATTAAACAAAAGAATGTAAAAAGATTATTACAACAGTTTGCACATAAGAAAGGCAAGATTTATGGATGTCAACTTCTTTACTCCACTTCTAAGTGCCGTTCAAAGATTTGAGTTTACACATACTTTACAGTATCAAAACAGTTGACCCCTTTCATCTACAGTTGACCCCTTTCATCTTGTTAGATTTTCAAATGAAAGATCATGCATCTTTAAGTTAATCTCCCTTGTACAGTTCATATCATTTACTTATCAATTATACAGGCTAGGTCTACTCAGCCGGGAACACTAATTAGGACGGTTCCATTTCAGCCACAGGTGTTGTCTTAATTATTAAAATGTGTTAACATGAGCTATTGCAAAATGAGAAGAAAAAACCATGATTTAGGTGAACTGTTTGAGCTTAAAATATCATGTGACATCTAATAAGTAAGATCCTTGACTAGAATATCATAATACAGTCCTACAAAATTTATAAGACTTTGGCCTTTATTATAAATTGATAACATATGTCCCATTATAAAACAAACAAAATGGTCACTCAAAACCAGAGGCTCTACTATTACGTCCAAATAAAACATTGGTCAAATCTTTTAAGGGCATTTAGAAGTCGAATGCACAAAAAAGCAAGATTTATGGATGCCACCTTCTTTATTGTGAATAGCACGACGGAGTGTATGCTCGCTACTTTGACTCGGCGAAGGAGCAAGCATACACTCCGAAACGTCGTGTTATTCACAACAAGAAGTTATCAAGGGCAGATAATACAAAGGGGGCTAATTCTGGATGACCCAATATATTGCAGATTCTGAACCATATCGCAATAATCGTATCGCGAGATACTGTACCAGTATATACCGGTTTACCGATAATATTGCACGGCCCTAGTTTCTAGTTATTATTCTAAAAACTTCTTTCACATACACCTTTAATTTGACGACCCATGCCTGCCACAAAAGGCGACTATGCTTGTCGTAAGAGGCGACTAACGGGATCGCGTGGTCAGGCTCGCTGACTTGGTTGACACATGTCATCGGTTCCCAATTGCGCAGATCGATGCTCATGCATTGATCACTGGATTGTCTGGTCCAGACTCGATTATTTACAGACCGCCTCCATACAGCTGGAATATTGCTGAGTGCAGCGTAAAACTAAACTCACTCGCTCACTCCGCCCGTATCCCCTACATGTCTAGGGTGAGGAAATACTTCTTTGAGTGTTTAGAAGATGCAGTATGTTCAGATACGACTAAAGAAACATGTATCAGATGAGGCATATATATCCAGGTGATATGAGTTGACTAGAATGAATTTTAAGGGGGGATACGGGCGGAAGTCTTTAACCAAAACGGAATCAGACTGGGTTGTATATAAAAACAAAACAAAAATGGAAAATGATTGGGTTGTATATAAAACTAAAATAATAAAACCGAAATAAGATTTGGTTGTATATAAAACTATAACCAAAAAAACGAAATACGATTGGGTTGTATGTAAAACAAAAAAATACTATGAAAAAACTAAAATAAAACCGAAAAACGATTGGGTTGTATATAAAACTATAAAAAACAAAAAACCGAAATATTGAGTTGTATATAAAACTATGAAAAAAAAAACAAAACCGAAATACGATTGGGTTGTATATAAAACTATGAAAAACAAACAAAACCGATAAACGATTGGGTTGTATACAAAACTATAACCAAAAAACAAAACCGAAATAAGATCGGGTTGTATATAAATCTATGAAAGAATACCGAAATACGATTGGAGTGTATATACAACTAAAGTTAAAACCGAAATACGATTCAGTTGTTTATGAAACAAAATAAAAACCGAAATAAGATAAGGTTGTATATAAAACTAAAATAAATAAAAAATAAGATTGGGTTGTATATAAAAAACAAACAAAAACGGAAAAAGATTGGGTTGCATATAAAACTAAAATAAAAATGGCCTCTTTTACTGATAAACACAGTGTCTGTTTTTTTCAAGTAAGGTAATAATGATAAACAAAGTACTTGCATACAAATCCATATCCAATGTATCTTCCTTTGCGAAATTTACAAACACTAGAAATCCCATGATGCAAACAAATAAAATGTCAACTTAACATTATTTGAGATGACATGAAATCAGAGGTGCTTTTTGTCTTGGTTTTTCGTTTGTTGTTGTTTTTGGAGTATTTTCGTTTATCATGGGTCAGGTGATCGGGAGGGAGTCCTACTCTAGACCCAATCGGCGTAGAAATCTTCTACTGTACATAGACAGAAAAACATGAGTTATATTAGTCTTAATTATATCTTGACTTTTTGATTAAACTTACTTTTTATGTAAGATGTATTGATTTAATATATCCTACAGACCCTCCTTCTTTCGAGGACGAGCTTGCCTGTGAAGAGGACGTCGAGGAGATCGGCTTGCGACACGCGGTAGTAGCCGGCATTTTCCTTTCCTTCGCCAACTTCACCCCCCAACGATTTGGCCAAAGCTCTCAACTCTTTCACCAACATGGTTTCCAATCCTATGGATCAACAGCAACCTTCTAATACTTTTAGGTCGTTCAAATTTCTAATAGGATGTCCGCCAACCGTTTGCGTTCTCGCATGAATGCCATCCTCCTTTTATTATGCGGGTACATCATAACCATTCTCCCTCCATGTTCGGTGCACAGGGCGTATCCGCCTTTGATGCCCTTCCCACACACCTTACACACGAGATTGACGAAGCCCAGCCTTTCCCTGTACGCGTGTTGGTAGCAGTATTTCTGCGCGTTGGCGTTGGGGCACAATTCGCGCTTCCCCAGCAGGATCTATCTGCATGATCCCATCTTCCTTCGTTTTATACCCTTTCATCAACCATCTCCGAAGCAATATTCAATAGGTGAGTTTCCAATTCGAGAAAAAAGAAAAAATAGAAAAAAACTATCGCGAGCCAATGAATAAGAACAGCGATGGGAGGAGAGAAGACGTCTCCGCGGAAGAAGAAGAAGGTGGCGGTGTTCACCAAGAAGGCCACGAGGCACGATCCTCACCTGTTTATCACCCACGAGCAGAGCCTCGTCCTTCGAGAGTATTACAAATCGCAAGTCATCCTGATGTCGGAGTTTCCCGAGCAAATGCGGTTGATCTACCTCTTTTGCTTCAACGGGTTGGTGAAAGATCGCTCGCTCCTCGACATGCTCTACCTGGTGGACCAGGAGCAGCTGTGCATCGTCGGCGCGAAGTTCTTGTGCACTCCCAACGAGCCGGTGCACCCCAACTGCGCCTCCAAAGGGCACATGGCGAGGGCGTCAAATCTTTTCACTAGCATGTGCGACCTCACTGAGGTGGGTTCTCCCTGCAAGTGCGGCAGTCCCGCTCACTGCTGGAGCAGCGCGAAATGCGTGCTCAGACGCTCCAACGGCATGGGTGAGGAACCACTTCCGGCGACGGAGAACCTGAAGACGCTTCCCACCGTCTGATACGAGGGCAAGAGCATGGTGTGGGGAGCGCGCTACATCCTGCTCATCGACGTGCTGTGAACTTACCGCCTCGTCCTGTACGAAAAGATGAGCGAAATACACATTCCCACGAGGCAAGCGAACCTGACCGAGGTTTTCAATGGGATCTACAGCTGCAAGGAATTCACCGTCGACGACCAGAACCGTTATTCTTTGATTCTGTATCCTCAAGACTCCCGCTACGACAAAGTCGTGGTCCTCGACCCGATCATCGACAGGGTCACGCCCTGCGAAACAAAAACGCAGGCCTTTCCGAAACAAAACGCAGGCCTTTCCTGTACAGCTGCATGAACGGCGCGTTCGTGCTGCTCGACTTTCACAGCTGATTTCTGTTAATCATCATGATCACTTCTCTGACTTGCCTCTTCGTCAGCTCCGCATCTCCTCCAATCGCCTCTCAAGCTCGTCTATTTTCGTGAGCAAGAGACCCGTCGAAGCCATCAAAATGAAATCCGTCAATTCGTCACCGGTGGCGGCACAACGTCGCGATCCCTCTTCACCACCCGAATCGCCAAACACAAAATGAGCATGTTGCAAAGTAAAGCCCACGACATCTTCTCCATCACGGCCAACAAAACCTCACTCTCACCGCTCGACACCAAACACTGGATAGACGAAGACGGAATCAAAATGCCCGATCCCACGACCCACGTTTGG